AAGATAAGATATTCCTATAGCTCCCCACTGCAGACCTCTTGTTGTTTGCAACAGCTTTTTTATACCAGAGACAAGAATAGAAAAGCCTAGAAATACCAAAGCCAAGTGCAGACACCGATGACCTCCACAACAACAGCTACAGACTAATGAGATCTAGAGAGGAAACAGAAACTGGTACAGCTTATTTTGTCTTTGTGTCTTTATAGAGGTTTTCTTATTGCCTGCAGTTCTGACTGGAAAAAAAGCAACAACAAAAAATCTAATGTCTGCAAAGATGGCTTTAGGGGTGGAGGAGCTTATATGGCACCTGCCAAGGAACCTGAAAATGACCAAATTTAATTGAACACATCATCTTCACATCTCCCTGCAGTACCTAGGTGAATTAATCTGTTTCAGATTAAAGGTAATTTATCTTTCGAAAGGTCTAGACCAGAGGCCACGGATTGGCGGACCGCAGCCCAGAACCGGATCCTAAACCAGACCCAACCTGATTTAAAGATTTCTAAATTACAGTGTCTAACTTCACTTGCTCCTGTGTCCCCTGTGAATATGGTAAAACCATCCTGAGCGTCCAGCAAGAACGAAAGAAATGTGAAATGGTGCTCAAAGATGACCCTGAACATTTAGAGGATGTTTGGCTCAACCTGCTGCTGTGAAGCAGGATTCTCCACCATGGACAGAATCAAAAATAAATATGGATCCAGACTCAAAATGAGAATGGCTTTTTCTCCATTCAAACTTGGGTTTAAAGCCTTGCAGAGCAGCATAAAGTCCACTGCTCTCTGGTCAGTTCAAGCATTTGATTAAAAAAATGTGAATCAGGAAATTGTCTAAATAACAAACTTTAAAATTGTTCTCTACTTCAAAAACAATTTACATTTTAAAATGGAAAAATTTTGTTTTTTATATTTTTTATTTAAAAATTTAATTTATAACATGGATGCATAAACACCTCTAGTTTATTTCATTGTTAAATTCTGTTTATAGTAACATTTTATAATTAAAAATGTCTCCGGAGCTTTACTGGTTGATTTTCTTTATTCGGACCCTGCTGATTTTTAATTGACTGTCCCTGACCTACTGTAGACCTAAATCCAGTTATTACAAAGAGAAAGAA